GCAGGGACAGAGAGGAGCCGCAGGGACAGAGAGGAGCCGCAGGGACGGGCAAGAGCCGCGGTACCCGCAGAGGGACGGCGAGCCCTGAGCCCTGCGCCTCCTCTGCAGAGATGCTCCGCGGGAAGCGGGTGATCGTGACGGGAGCCAGCAGCGGCATCGGGGAGCAGATGGCTTACCACCTGGCCCGGATGGAGGCCCACCTGCTGCTCACGGCACGGACAGAGGCCAGGCTGCAGAAAGTAAACGGCGAGCAGGGCGCGCTGGGCCGGATGGGGATACCCACCCCAGCCCGGGCACACGGGCACTCCTGGTCCCTGCAGACCCACCCCAGGGCTTCCCCAGCACCGGCCCTTCCTGGCCCAGGACAGGAGCAGCTGGGACCGGGGTTCCACGCAGGGGAGTCCATCCACGCCCGTTCTGTCCCCAGGTTGTGGAGCGGTGCCTGGAGCTCGGCGCTGCCTCCGCCCGCTACATCAGCGGCTCCATGGACAGCCCCAGCCTGCCCGAGGAGGTGCTCAGGGAGGCGGAGAACACCTGGGGTAGGTGCTGCGGAGCTGCCCCTCGCCCCCAGCGCGGCCCAGCCTCGGGAGTGCAGGTTTGGAGGCAAACCCGCTCTGCCCCCAGGTGGCCTGGACATGCTGATCCTGAACCACATCGGCCAGAGCGGCTTCACCTTCTTCAGCGGGGACGTGGGGCACGTCCGAAAGCTCATGGAGACCAACTTCGTCAGCTACGTGGCCTTGGCCACGGCTGCCCTGCCCCTGCTGAAGGAGAGCGAGGGCAGCATCGTGGTGGTTTCGTCCATAGCGGGTGAGCTCCTAACACAGCCCTTCCTCTGCCTGCCACGGATCCCTGCTGAGGCTCCGCTTCCAAAGGCAGAGGAAGGTCCGCAAGCAGAGCTGGGGCTCAGGGTCAGCACCTGATTCAGCTCTTTGGTGCACAGCTCAAATCCTCTGGGAAATGTATCTTTTGTCCTGTCAGTCTCCTGGCACCCTCCGATCACCTTCACATGCTGCAGTGCAGGTGATTTCACAGGCACGGCCACATCCAAACACACATTTGCAATACATCCCTGCAGGGACACAAGAGCAGCATCAGCTGCTCTGGAAGGCCCTTTGTGCCATACATTACATTTTGAACATTCCTGCGTGTTTATTTCTCTCAGGCATCCATGACAGCTTATTCCAACACCCTAAATCCCAGCACTGGCAGGGCAAGAGGAGGGAGGGTTGTGCAGCTGGTGCCTGCCCAGCCCCTGAAGCCCAGCACTGTGTCTCTGCTCAGGTAAAATTGCCGGCCCTTTTACTGCTCCTTATTCTGCAACCAAGTTCGCCTTAGATGGATTTTTCAGCTCCTTGAGGCAGGAACTCATCATAGACAAGGTCAACGTTTCCATCACACTCTGCATCCTGGGCTACATCAACACAGGTGAGCTCAGCCCCCCCGGGACCCCACGGCTCAGCCCACGCCAGGCACAGCCCAGCTGAGCCCACCAGCCCCTGGTGCCAGCCTGCTCTGCCTCTGCTGCTGGAGCCTCCTCCTGCAGAGTCTGTGCAGCTGTGGAAACAGGACCCCAACCCTTCAAAAAGTGTGCCCTGAGGCCTCTGACCCTGCCACCACCACAGTGGACTCAGGGGAGGTCCCGTGGCCTCTCAGGAGGTGGAAAGCAAAGGGAAAATCACCTTATAATTGTTATGTTCACCGTTCTAAGCCTTGTTAAGCAGGTCTGCTCCCCGGAGTTTGTGGGTTTGAGGATGCCCTGACCCCCTGGTGAGCTGTGTCCCCCCGACACGTCCCTGTGCCCTTGCAGAGAGCGCCGTGCGCGCCGTCTCGCACGTCATCCCGGACACGCCGTCGCCCAAGGAGGAGTGTGCCCTGGAGATCATCCGGGCCGGAGCCCTGCGCCGCCGGGAGCTGCACTACCCGGCCCCGGCCGTGGGCAGCATGCTCCTGCTCCGCAGCCTCGCCCCGGAGCTCCTGGAGTCCCTCGCCCGCAGCAGCTACCGCCTGGAAAACGTCAGGAGAACGTAGTCCTGGAGCCGCGCCGGACGCCTGGGCCCGGCAGGACGGGTCTGGCTGGGAGCCCGGCTGCTTGGTGCCCTCCCACACCCGGGGCATCCCTGTGCTGAGCCCTGGCAGCCCGGGCCAGGACCCCCCAGGAGTCTGGAACGCAGCACAGAATTGTCCTTTGTGGTAACGGGCTCTTGTAGAGGGCTTTTTCCAACCAGGAACACTCAGAGAAGTCCTGCAGCAGGATCTGCTGCCAGTGCCCTGCCCACCAGCAGGGCTCCTGCTCAGCCTGCAGAAACTGTTCCCTCTGGAAAGCCACCGAAGCAGCTGAGCTGAGCCCTGGCCCCGAACCACAGTTTGGGCCAAGCAGCACAAACCACCCGAAGCCACGAGAGAGTCTCTGAATCTGGAGATTTTCTGTCACACATCCCTTCCATGCCGGTCTTTGTAGAAATAAATCCAACGTTACTTTCAGATCTCTGCTTTTCCGGGTGTTTCTTCTCCACGTGCACAAGCCAGGAGCCCTTATCAGGGCACAGCGCCCTTATCAGTGTCCAGCTGGCTAAACCGACCTCCTCCCGATTTGCATTAACGAAGCTTTCACTTCTCTAAAGACCTTAATGAATTTCTGCCATTCCTGACCTCTCCTCAGCTGCCAAAACACACTTTTTTTCCTCTTTCCAATCTGCAAGAAGCCATAAAATAATAGCATTACTGTACTTCCCTAAGTCTGGATTCCTCTGCCCCAAAGCCGCTCAGGGAAACTCCATCCCCGAGTGCCACAGGCAGCTCCAACTCCACTTCTGTGTCCCAGAGCAGCACGGGGAGATGCCCCAGAAGATACCTGCTGGCTGTGCCTCCAGCCGGGCTGGGCACCGGGGCTGACCCCGCCGGGAGCCGGGCTGTGAGCGCACACAGGAACCGGGGCTCGGCCGCAGCTGCAGCGTTTCCTGTTGCAGAGAGAGAGCAGGAGAGCGGGGGCACACGATGAGCAGGCTGGCATGAGCAGGGCAGCCGGGGCGTGCTCCTGCCCGGCAGCGCCCGGCTCGGCGCGGCTCCCCGGCGGCAGCACGGGACCCGGCTCCAGGTAAGGGCGGCAGCACCCCAGGCGCTGCGGGGCAGCAGAGGCCAGAGCAGCACCCGGAGCCTTTTCCCTCCTGTTCCACCCCATTTTCAGCCCCACAGCTTGCACCGGGGAACTGTAGCGTGAGCCAGCGACAAGCAGAGGGGTTCTTTCCTGGTTTCCCTTGAAGGAAGAAGTGTAAGAGCTTGGAAAGCAAAGATGGAGGACATGTTTAATTAGAGAGGGTAATTTGGGGTAAGAAAAGGAGGAAATAGAACATTAGCTTGTCAAGAAAGCGTCCAGGGTTTGCTCAGCCTGGGGTGAGTAATGGACTGTGTTTCTTTAAGCTTTATCCTGCTTTTCAGTGCATTTTTGGTGAACTGAGGCTTTTACAGCCCTGGGACAGGCAGGGCAAGCCAGAGGCAGCAGAGGTGGGAGAGGGCTGAGCTTTTCCTGACGGATGAGTGAAGAGATGGATGAATGGAGACTGAGCAGAACACACAACTGGGCCTTTTCAAAACCGGAGCAAAATGAGTTGAAAAACGCTCAGCTTTTGGAGCCGTGTCCAGACTGGGGCTTGTGGGCACCTTCCCCACCCAGGCACCACCCCAAAAATGCAGCTTGCCTTCAAAGGAGGCCCCTACAGTAAAAGATAGCACCAGGAATGAACTTTGAGCACCCCACAGCTACCACCGGGACAGCAAAAAGAAAGCCAGAGCAGATTTTAATACAAACTAAACAGTATGGAAGCGTCCCAGATGTAACTGGCACTCCAGAAGCACTGCCCACCACCCCACACCCAGAAACCCCAGAAACGGCTCATTTCTGCTCAGCCCCTGCGTTTTGGGTTCCGCAGGGCAGAGGCCGCCAGGGGACAAGGCCACCATGCCCAGGAGGGCACGGCCGTGCCCGGGCGAGAGCTTCGAGGAGCGGAGCGAGCGGCGGCAGCGGGAGCGGGAGCGGCTGCGGCGCAGGGACGGCGCCAGCCCTGCCCGGGCCCCGCGCCGCCCGGCCAACAGCGCCCGCCAGAGCGAGTTCCTCCGCAGGAGGAACCTGGGGCCCGGGGGGACCCTGCCGGGACACCCGCCCGAGGCACCGAGCCCTCCGGAGCCCTCCTCACACGTGGAGCCCAGAGCAAGCATCCCGCTCCAGGTAAAATTCCTGCCCCGGTAACTCCTGCCCCAGGGCACGGCTGGGAGCTCATCCCGCTTCGGCCCATCAGCATCCAAGTCAAAACACAGCCAGAATGCAGACTGAACAGATAAAAACCCGCGTTTTGTGTTTTTCACAGTCACCTCCCTGCTCTTCTCCTGCTTGCCAAGCCTTGAACCCAATGGAGGTTTTTCTGCCACTTCTCCAAGTACAACTCCACCTTTTTGCTGCCAGGCTGCAGCTCTGCACTTACAGGAATTATTTTTACCCTTGATAAGTGAGCTCCATCCCCCTGGCTTCCCTCCCTCACCCGAGCTGCGGGCGGGAAGGGTGGAGGGGGCAGCAGAGTCCCTGGCACTCGTTACCCACCCTGTGGCACACAGGAACCCGGAGGGCTCCCTGCCTTCAGCAGCACCTTTGTGCTGAACACCCCAGACAGAGCCAAACACATCTCCTTGTCGATTTAAATTCCCCGGGGCACCTCGGGGTCACAAAGCTGTGCGAGCAGACAGCCGAGCACGAGGTGATGCGCACAGCCCCAGCCTGGACCGGAGCGAGCAGAGCGGTGCCCCAGCCCTGCTGCCCCTCGCTCCAGCAGCTCCTGGAGCAAGCTGTGGGTGCCGAGCCCTGCGCTGTGAGCTGTGCAGAGCCGCAGCCCGGCGGGCAGGGCTGGCACCTCTGCCCAGACCCCCCGTCCCGTTCTGGGTGCTCATTCCGCACCCCCACAGGCAGCAGGCTGCTCCCCGCTCTGTGCCAGGGCTCTGGAGCTGCTGCAGCCAGAGCAGCACATCCCCGCGGGGCTGCCACAGCTCCCTGGCATCTCCCTGTGCTCCTGCCCCCGTCGGTGCCTGCGGGTTCAGCCCCTGCCCTCACCTGCTGGCGGAGGCTGAGCCCAGCTGCCCTCTCGTTCCAGCACCCGAGGAGCTGCCCCAGCTGCCCCCCTGCCCAGTCCCCGCCGAGCCTCAGCCCCCCCCGGGCACCGCGGCGCTCCGTGCACACCCAAGGTAGGTGAGGGACGCTCCGATTTCCCAGCACATTCCCGCCCCGCTCCCATCTCCTTGCAGCTGTCCGGGGTCCCCAGCCAGCATCCCCCCTCCCATCCCTCTGACCGCCCCAGCCTGGCTCCCTGCACACTCTGGGAATTAGGAATATTTTTCCTGGGGAAGGATAAACCAGTGCAGAGTGACCACCAGTGCTGCTGAGCAGCTGCTCTGCCCCAGGGTCAGCCGGGGAGTGACTTTCCTGCAGAATAAATTCCTTTGCTTCTCTGCCCATCAGAGCGGGCGTTTCTTTGCCTCTTGTGCCCATTGAGCTGTCACTGGACACTATTTAATAACCATTTATTTTTTATTTAAACTGGGAGCAATGGGAGCAGAGACGGACACCCTCCAGAGATGGAAAAACATCCAGAGCCCCTCAGGGGGACCATTCACACCCTCTCACCTTGCTCCCACAGGGACGCAGACCCTCCCAAGCCCAAGGTCAGGAGTGACAGACTCGAGCCAGCAGACAGAGTAAGCAGCTCCTGCCCCTCCCTGGCGCAGCTCCCCATGCCCAAAGTGCTCCCCCAGAAAGGTTGAGGGCACAGACACCCACAGCTCGGCTGGGGAGGGGCTGCCCAGGCTGGAGACCCTCCCTGATGCCTCAGTAACACACTCTGCTTTTCATTTCAGCTGGGGAATAGCAGTTTTAAATAAGGTAAGCAAAGCACAGGTAATGACCAGCCTGAACGCCTGGAAGTTCAGCTGTTGTGGAAATATTTCCACTTCCCTGGAAACACTAACCCAATGGACCCCAGCAGGTTCTTCTCCACCCAAATACAGGCTGTTAATTCACTTCATTTAGAAATATTTAGCTTTTTGTAGCAAGTTCATGACATGTTTATAAACTGAAACAATCCTTTTTTAAACATCTGCCCTTTCCCTTCCAGGAAATGGTGCAGCTCTCCAACTACCTGCAGGTAGGTACCAAACAGTGCTCAGCCCCACCTGGGACAGCTGCTTTTCATCAAGAATAATGCTGATTACATTATTATTAATATTGCTAAATGAAGGGTGTTAAAAGCCCGATTTTGACATGGCCAAAAGACCAACCAAAAGAAAGAGCCAGAGCGCCAGGCAGGGCCAGGCCTGGCTGGGGCTCTGGCTGTGCCCCAGCTCTGCCCGCTGACCCTGCTGCCCTCCCGCAGGAGGCCCTGCACCGCGAGCTGCTGCTCAAGCAGAAGATGGTGATTTTACAGGAGCTCCTGTCCACCCTGCTGCAGGCTTCAGAGAAATCCTGGCAGGTACCAGAGAGCTGCAGAGCCCCCGGCACCTGCCCGGCCTCGCTGCCCCTCCCCACGCAGGGAGGCTGGCCCAACCCAGCAGGAAAGGCCCTTCTGTCTCCCATGGGGATGCAAAATGGAAATTATACATTTTATATAATAGAGGAGGCTTTCTTATAGCATCCTTAAACAATTCATGCTGCTGTGGCACTAAAAAAAAAAGTGGTTTGAAAGTTCTGTTGGGGCAGAGAGGCGAGTGATTGGGTGAGGGGGTACAAAAACTTGTCTTAGACATCCTGTGGTCAGAAACTTCCGCCTTCGCTCGCTCCTTCAATATAACGTGAGCAGGAAAAAACACTCAGCCACATGCGCAGGAAGTGGCCATGAAACCTCAGATGACAACAGGTGGGTGCTCCTTGCTGCTCCTGCTGCAGGAAAGCACACTGCTCTTCCTCAGCCTAAAAATCAGCTTTTGCTCAGCCTAAAAATCAGCTCTTCCTCAGCCTAAAACTCAGCTTTTGCTCAGCCTGGCCATCCGCGGTGCTGGAGCCCCCAGGCAGATGCTGCTGCCGGGAGGGGATTCGCGATGCAGGTGGGGCTGGGGGCTTCTCCAGGGGCGCTGGCGAAGGGAGGGAGGGAGGGAGGGAGGGATGGAGCCTTCCCCCTGACGCTGTGCCATGGAAAGTGAGGGCTGGCTGCCCCTTCCAGCCTCAGGTGAGATGCCAAGGTTTTGCTGTAGCAGCTTTTTAAGCCTTTCGAACGGTTTGGGTTTCAAAGACGAGCTGTTGAGTACCTGAGAATGATGTGGCAGCAACTCCTGCGATGGAGTTATTTTTGAGGTGCTGCTCACGTGTGGTTGAGGCTCATGGGGCGAGTGAACGCCCTGCAGGAGCACGGGTGTCAGACTGCAGGACAAGCACTTGGTGCCTTCCCCCTCCCACGATTTCACCCCGAGGTCAGAGAGACCCTCCTGCCCGGGGCTGTGCCTCAATCCCCAC